TCATCCGTAGCTATGGTCCTAGAAACTAGGGAGACTGAGATTTGTGGGTTGCTTGAGTTCATAAGTTCAAGATTAGTCTTGACCTCAACAGGGAGACCCTGTCTCAAAAACAAATGAATATAAAACTACCTCTAAACTATTGAAGCCAATGTTAATGGTATCTATACCTATATTCTTCATTTAAATATTATACTCAAGAAAGACAAGAGGAATTGACCCTTTTTGAGAATCCCACGCCCATGCACTTGGGTATCTTTAACTTTTTTCCCTGAATGACTCTTTTTCTTTTTACCCTCATGCTTAAACACATCTTTTACTAAAACAAAACCCCATTTAAGAAACAGAGACAGGGAGAGAGAGAGAGAGAGAGAGAGAGAGAGAGAGAGAGAGAGAAGGCAGAGAGGGAGGAAAGAAGACACATTTGAGGCTGAGGAGAGAGCAATGCAGGAGCCTTCAGTTGGAGCCAGCTTGGTTTGCTGCAGGGAGTGAAAAGACTGGTGTGCGATTCTACCATAAAGATGGCGAGGGAAAAGGTCATGGGTGTGGTACGTGTCAGATGGCAGGGCCTTCCAGGCCCACGTCAGGATTCTGGACTTCAAATGTGGTGAACCTGGGTCCCAGCCACTGTGGTGTGTTCCTTAGCTGGGATTGCCTCTACAGCTGCAGAGAAGAATTCCTAGAAACAGTACAGCCACAGTTCTGTGAGCCTCTTTATCCAGCTCTGGCTCACCTTGAACTTGGAGCAGCCAAGGAACTTCAGGTCCAGGACCAATGTGGTCAGACACAGGAGGAGAAAAGGAGCCAAGCTGACTCTCATTTGCCCAGGCTGCTAAAGGGTTTGAATCAGCAAACATTCAAAACTGTTGAAGCTTGACTGTTTTTAATGCATTCTATCAATGATGGCTGCCAATGGCTCCGAAGTTCTGTAGAAACTTACTCTGCGCCAGTGTCCTACCCCCAAGCACCTCACCTGTTTCATTTCATGGAATACTGTAAAGACAGTGGGTGACAGGTACTCTCAAAGCCCCCCGTGTGCTGAAGCGGAAGCAAAGGAGCAGAGAGGCTGGGCCACAAGCCCAAGGCCAAGGAAGGTGGAGCTGCTGGGGGTGAAGCTTGGGTAGGCTCATCAGGAGGGAAGCCCTGCAAGCTCCAGCTGCTGCAAGGAGGGAATCCTACTTCTCAGCATTTCTCCAATCCCTTCCAATAGGGCTAGCTAGGAGGTGTACTCTGTTAAGATCTGTCTGGAACTGACATTTAGGACCCTTCTGTACCTGATTTGACTTCCTCTCCCCTCTCTCCCTTCCCCATCTCTATCCGACACCACGTTTAGATAGATGTTTGACCTTGTGAAGGTCAGAGGTCAACATCAGTGTTTTCTTCTGTCACTGTCACTCTCTACCTTCTTTTTTTGAGGCAGGGTCTCTCACTGAACTTGGAACTCACTGATTGGTTACTCTGACTGACCACAAGCCACAGGGATCCCCTGTCTCCTAGCTCTGAGGTTACAGAAACTGCCAAACTCTTTCAATAGTGCCTGGGATAAGAACTCAGGTTCTCATGCTTCTTTACTAAATAACCCAAATCTCTAGCCGCTGGCCTCTTAGTTCTCAAAAGTGACTCTGTGAGTGATTGGAAGGCAGAGAGTCAGTGAACAAAATCAGGATGCGGCTGGAGCAGACTGTGTAGCAGGGAAACAGTGAAATTGTCAGCAGCTCTCCCAGCCAGATAGGCACAGTCCTAGGTCATTATCTGAAATATGGGAATCCTTAGCCTAAAGTTTTGCAAATGCTGGGGTCTCACTTCAGCTCCTCCTGAGGCACCCCAGACTCAGCTGTCTCTGGCGGATGTCTCAATTTGCTGAAAGATTGCTGATGTGGTGATGATTGCTTCTGAAGGATGGGGGAATAGCAAGCACGATCATTTCTAAGCATTTTCTAGGCACAATCATTGTGCAAAGCATTTTTGCACATATTATCCCACCAAAAACTCCTGTAAGATGAACAGGCAACCCCGTGACACTGACCCTGCTCTATCCCCTATGGAACCTCTTTATGGAACTTCCATGTGACAGAGAAAGTAACTTCCCCCAAACCACACATCAGAGTTCTGTCTATGTAATGCCTGTGTCCGCTCCCAAGACTCAGTTGATAGGGATTAAAAAGAAAAAAAAACACTTTAAAAAAAGATTTATTTGCGACTCTTTCCTACAAAATCTGATTTGTTCATCACTAAGGTTACTGACATAACTAACTGACCCTGAAATGTTCCCAAATGAGTTCCGAAATGCTGGCGTCTCACCTCAGTTCCTCCCACAGTACCCAATGATACCCGATGGTATCCGAGGGTACCCGAGTCTCAGTAGTCTTTGGAGGATGTAAGTCAGAAACCCCTGGCAACTGAATGTTTTAAGAATTTTGCATGCGAGCTGAAACCATATTAAAAAGAGAACATTATTTTTGTCACTGTCACAACTAAGATCTATGCTGTAACTCAGCTTCTAATGGTTGAAAGGGGGGGGAGTAAATTGTTATGGTTGCCATTTTCTTAGCAGAAGTCCATTTTAGCAAAGAAATGTAGTCATGGTCACGTGACACTCTTTTCCCTGGAAAATAATTGTAAATGTACTAAGAAGAGAGAGTGAAAAAAGGAAATTCCCAGTGAGAAAAAATATAATCCATCTGGGGTCACATGTTTCATTCAGACTGATTCAGACTTCTGACATTCTTATGTTAGAAGGAAAACTTGGAAAATGTTTAAACTTCAGGATATTTAATATTTTGGAGGGTGGAGGACACATTACAGTTTAGCCCTGCTGAATCTCCCCAGTTACTGGTTGCTACGGGAAGATATGATGAGGTCATGGTTGCTTTAAAGTCAGTCATAATAAAAACACATTTTGAGACTTGATTCTAAATGTTATACTTAAATTTGGGTGACTTAATTGCCCATAGAGTAGGAATGAAGTCCCACCAGGAGGTGTAATTTCTTACAGCCACTGTGTGTGAAATTGAAATCTTAAGATATCATGTCAAATATGCACCTTCTTGAAGAAGGTTCTCCCCAAAGAGTTGTGAAAGATAAGAAGTTGACCCAAAGTGGCACACACACCTTCTCCCTTAAACACACTCAGGTCAAAGCAGAGGTGTCTTATTAAAAAGAATCTTTATGCCCTGCAGTTGGCCATTCCAAAGTTACCTCTTGGAGCCCAAGGAGATATTTATTTTAATAACTAACTCCATCCCCATAGAAAATTGGAGCAAGGAAAGTGGTCCAATTTGGTATAAATATACCAAAATATAAATAAATACTAGTATATAATATATTTATTGGTATATTTATATATATAGATATATATCCCATTCCATTACAGATCCATGTACCACATGTTGGGTGCACAGCTCAGCCAATCCTTACACCAAACTCTCCAGTAAGTAAGTTCCCTTGCTGAGAATGTAAACTCTTGCTGGCCAGACAGAAATGAAAGTAACAGTTACCTAGTTATCATACAGTTTAGGCTTGCCGAAACATTGTAAAGATTTTTTGTTTTTAATTAAAAAAAAAACAAGAATCTAAATAGGAAACTTTATATGCAGAAGGTGGGTTTTGAACCAACACAAGGGCATGCACACAGACACAGATTTTAATTGTCTTCTTTCAGTTCACAAACTTGAGGGCTTGGCGACAAGAAGATGACTTGAATCTGTGAGTAGTGAGTCAGGTAATTGCCAGTGAGTGATCAATGCGGATTTGAGCACATTAAGCATCCAGGAATTCACTTCTGACTTCAGCAGTCATCTTCCAGTGTGAGTTGATCTAGGCTGCAAAAAGAATCTTTAAAACAGGGGTGAAATACTTATGGCCTTGATAAAACAATGGAAAAAGCATTTGGGAGTTTCCTCTTTACAAGCTTCAAGGCTGGCATCAGCAAAAGCTAACAAGCCGTGAATGATCATTTCTAAACCCAGTTTCAAGGAAGACAAGGCCCAGAGAAACCCAAGTTTTCCTCCCTGAAAAAGTAGCTAGTTAGAGACGTCTTCTTCCCGTCTGCATTTCTTTCTCCTTCTAGAACTTGCCTTCAAGCTTGGAGGAGAAACCTGAAACCCAGATCAAGCCTGCCCTTTCCTTTGCTTTATATAGGGCAAAATAGGTCCTTGATCATTGGGAAAGCACTTCCTCTGTCCGAGTATTGCTGGCACTTTACAGAGAGGGCAAACCTAACCGCTGGACTCCGCTCTTTGAAAGATGCTGAGGGAGAGAATTCTGTGGCCAGCAGATGGAGAGGAGACCCGACAGTGTGGTCCCTCCCAGCCACCCTCCCCGCGGGATTAGCTGCCCCCAGCACTGCTCAGGCGCACCCGGCGCGTGAGGTGCCTGATCGCACAGCACACAGCTCGCGGCAGCTCTCTGGAGCGCAGTCGCAGCCACTAGCTCGCCGCCAGCAGAGCCGTGCTGTCCCAGGCATCCCAGAGCACTGCGACCGTAGACCTGGGACCTCGAACCCTAGACGAACGTGCGCGAGCCAGCCACTAGGAACGCTTGCGTTTCTGCAGGTGCTTATCTCACATTCTTTTCTTTCCCGCTGGAGCGGTCAGGTGGTTACTTTCAGCCTGAAACTAAAGGGAAAGGCAGAAGAAGGGGAACCCTGAGAAGGACGAATTTAGTGGCAGCCGGGCTTCTTGCCCCTGGAGAGGTGCTCAGGAGAGACTCTCGTTCTCCGACGCGGGCCCCTTTAAGAAGCCAAGTCAGTGCTGCTCCGGCTGCTGTTTGGATTGCTAATCCCCAGGAGCCCCGTTTAAAAAAAAAAAAAAAAAAAAAAAAAGGAAGAAAAAAGGGGAGGGGGCGGGCAGCTGTCTCTTTAAATGTGATTTCCTTCTATTGTATTTGAATCGTGATCAGGAAAAAGGAAATGAAACCAGAGACAGAGGGAAGCTGAGCGAAAATAGACCTTCGCGAGAGAGGAGGGAGCCCGGGGAGAGAGCCGCGCGGTCCGCTCCCCGCCCCCAGGCCGCCGCCCCGTCTCTGCCCTCGGCGCCCCGACCCTGGCAAAGGTGCGGGGGGCTTGGGGCGACCGGGCGGAGCCTGCGACTGCGCGCGATCGGGACCGGGCGGCGGCGGCGGCGGCGGCGGTGACGGCAGCGGGACCGGGATGGAAGGTTAAGTCCTGAGCAGCGGCAGCTGCCGCAGCCGCCGGAGGGAGACCGGGCTGCTGCTTCCCGGCCCCCTGCCTTGGCCGCCCGAGCGCCGGGCAGCGGGCTGATTCGCTCTCTCTCTTTGGCGTTTGAAGGGAGCGCTGTGACTGTCCTTGAGCGCGGAGGGGCGAGCTCGCCAGCGGAGCGACCCAGCAAGAGGAGGCGCAGGAGCGGCGGCGCCCGAGCACCCGAGGGGGTCCGAGTCCAGGCAGCGGGCCAGACACGCGCCACAAAGGGAGCGCCCCCGCCACCCGGCACGCCGCCTCCCTCCCCAATGTCCTCGGCCATCGAAAGGAAGAGCCTGGACCCGTCTGAGTAAGTGTGGTGCTTCTGTCCCCGCGCCCACCTCCCACCGGCTCCCAGACTAGGAGCAAGGGGCTGGCTTCAGGTACGCGCCCTCAGCGCGCCCTTGGTCCTTCGGGGTCGCAGGGGCTCCCCCTGCCTCTCGGGTGATTCTGGAGACACTGAGAGGGACTGGGCGGCGGAAGCAGTAACAGGGGTCGTCCCGGCGACCCTGCGGGCGGCTCCGAGCTATCTGGAAAGCTCCCCAAACCTTCACCCGGGCCAGAAAGTTTGCCTAGGAGCTCCCAGGTGCGGTGCAGGGAGAATGGGTACAGGGACTCTGCCTCCTCCCCTCTCGCTCCACCGGGTTCCCTTTCTCTTTGTCCATTTGGTCCTGAAAAGGGGAGACACTCCAACAGAACGTTTCTGGGGTCCCAGACGGTCTCCGACCCAGCCCCAGGTAGAGCAGCTGCGGGCATTGATGAGGTTCGCCTGTCCACCTGGGAACTGGTTCAATGCTCTAGAGACTTGTAGAATAGCTAATTCGGAGTTCCTCCGGGTACATATTCGCCCCTCCCCCGAGTCTTCTTGTGTGGGCATTCGAACCTCGAAAGTTAGTGCACCGGTTGTTTGCTTGTTTTATTTTTTTAGGTATTTTTTTGGGGGGGAGCAGAATCCCATCGAACTCTCAGGGGCTTGGGGTCAGTGAAGAGGAGCTGTAATGAGCTTGTACTGTCTTTGCTCTAAGCTTTGCGCTGGTTTGCAAAGAACACACCCCCCCCCTTCCTAGCCCCATACCCCAGCCCATTCTCTAGCTTTAACAAGGGGAGCCAGGAATGCTTAAGGTATCGTTTTTCCGCGTCCACGCAAATGCCCTTTTAAGAGTCGTTAGTTGTCTGGTTTTGAGTTGTATTCCTTTGAAGTCCCCATCTAATCCTTTGAAGGGATTTGTTAACACAAGACCAAAGGAGCTGGCTAATGACTTGTCCATTTGTGCTTTTAAGGAGCATTTGTTTTGGTGGCTTTTTTTTTTCTTTTCCTGCTTTGAAAGAATTGTGCTTTCCTGCTGAAGTTCCCCTACTCACCTCCCCCCTTCAATTTCAGCCTTCTGCGGTGTTTATTTACCTGGGTTTTACCCTCTGTCAGCAACATAAAAACCCAGTATGTTCTCATAAAACACAGGAAGTCCCACGATCCAGAGAGAATATAAACATCACTCTTCGGTCTTGAAGATTAAGACACCAGCTCAGAAAGGAGCTAGGTTTGTTGACATAAAGACCAGCTTCCTAAAAATCTCAGGAGAAAAATAACAAGCCTTTAAAAAACAAGTTGGTGTCTACAGTTTATTCCCTTTTAAAAAATAAACTTAGCATTACTTCAGAGCTCTGAGTTTTCAGAGATTGGACAAGACATAAGAATCCAGGTAAGGGAGTCAGTCAGTCAAACTGGTGTTTACTGCTTGCCAGGCAGGACAGCCAAGCCACTAACCCTTTATTAGAAGTTGAACCTACAGAATTCAAAATTCGGCTCCTTAAAAAATGGGGTTTTATTGTTAATTATGTGTATGTATGTGCACCCAAGTGCAGGTGCCCCCACCCCCCCAGGCCAGAGGTGTTGGATCCCCTAGAGCTGAGTTACAGGTGGTTGTAAGCCCCCCATTTTGGGTGCAGAGACTCTCACTTGGGTCCTCCGGAAGAGAACCCATATGGGTGGTTACCCATATGACTGAGCCATCTCTGAAGCTTCAGGGTTGGCTTCTGTAAAGGAAGTTTTGTCTTTCCAAAGTTTGTGCATGTTTACGCCTCTGAGACTAGAAAGCAGGAAAGTATCTTGAGGCTGTAATGGTGAACACCTAGTCCAAGGGATCCACTGGCAGGGCCGCAGTGCGTGCCAGTGAAGGAAGGCAAAGCCTGGCAAGCCGGGTGGGGAATGTCTACAGAACACTTCCCCTCTTTCTGGGAAATTGTCGAGAAATTTCATCAGAAAACAAAGCTACAGGGGTACTCCGATGTCGTGTTCAGGATTGGCTGGTGGGAGAAAGTCAAATATTAACTTAAGGCGAATCTCATTCAGCCTCTGGCATGATTATTCGCCAGAGGTAATGTCACATCATCGTTAGCTACAGAAAGACAGATGGAGTCAGTATCTTGTCCTGCCCTTGTCTGCTCTCAGACCCTCTCTTTCTGTAACAACTTACTCACCTTCCAGCTGCCGCATCGTGCGCTTGCTCAAAGCCAGCCTGGGACTTTACCATGCCATCTCCAAATACAGATTGGTCCTTGCCTAGACACATGCAAAGGTAGCATGAACACAGGGAACCAGAATTCATGAGCATAGACTTCCTCTACCATGCAATTGGGGAGCCCTCCTGCTTCCCTGCAGGTCATTTTAATTCAGGAGGGGGGGTTATATTCCAGATAAATGTAAACACTTCCCTTTCAAAGGTGGTTGCTAATAACATTAGCATCACCATGATGGAGGTTCTGTGGGTGTTTTTAAAAGCCCAAAGCAAGACCATGAGCTATGCAAAGAGAAGAGAACTGAGTCTGAGTCAGTGTGCTTGCATAGGCCCAAGGGTCCAAGTTAACTCCAGATGGGACAGAAACCCTGACATATAACCTATAAAAACAAAGACTGTAGTGTATTATTAAAACTATTTAAGGTCTTAGCCCATCTCACCCATAATTCTACATACACGAGAGGCTGAGGCAGAAGAATGGAAAGTTCCATTCCAGCCTGGGCAAGTTAGAGAGAGCTTGTCTTGAACTTTAAAAGGAGGGAAAAGGTTTGTAAGGTGCCTCAGCTGCTAAGGCGATTGCTACTGAGCCTGACAAACTGAGTTTGATCCCCAGATCAAACACGGTAGGAAGAGAGAACCGAGCCCTGAAAGTTGTCCTATGACATGTGTGCGCCCGTGCACACGCATGCACACATGCACCCTTTTAAAAAAAATAAAATAAGGGAGCTGGAGAGATGGCTCAGTGGCTAAGAGCATCTCCAGCTCTTACAGAGGACACATATTTGATTTCCAGGACCCATATGAGATGGCTCACAATCACCTGTAACTCCATCTCCAGGGTATCTGACACTTCCAGCCTTCTGGGGCACCTGCCCTTAAGTGGACATACCCACACACAGACATACAATTAAAAATAAAAAGTTAAGAGCAATACAAACAGAGCTGATTGATTTGGTTGCTTTTTTCTAAACAAATAAACAAAGCGAAAACAAACAAACAAAACTGACCTGAGCTTCAAACTTCCTGGTTCCAAAAGAAAGTAATCTAATGTTTTATGTGAAAATAGTAGGTTTGGTGTTAGCATTTAGCTAAATATTTACAGCGGATGCTTAATGATATGAAGGTGTTGGGGTGCCCGATAAACACCCATTCCCCAAGTCTCACTGTTCTTAATTATAATGGGGCTGAATTTCATGTGTGCAGGCCAATGAGGCCACAAGGTCACTTGGTAAAAGTGCCAAATAAAAATAAGAGGCACAGACTTATCGCCCCAGGGTAACCAAGAAAACGCCACTGGGCATTTCACAGTAGGAATGAAATCTAATTTTTAAAATTAAATTAACTAAATTTTTAAGTTAAAAATTAATTTTTAAAATTAAAAAACTAGATTTTAATACTTTATTGTTTTTAATTGAGCTATACATTTCCCCCCACTCCTTTTCTACTGTCTCCCCCATGTTCCCAATTTACTCAGGAGATATTGTCTTTTTCTCCTTCTTAGGTAGATCCATGTATTTCTGGAATAAGGTTCCAGAGAGCACTAGCTAATTGGCAGGCATTGAGTTTTGCTCTGTCTCCTAATTGATGTCACAATCATTTCTTCCATGCCCATTTTCTCTTAGAAAGATTATTTCTTCTCATCTGTAAAACAGAAGTATTTAGGTTCCGGGAAGGTAAAGCAAATAGAAGGTCTATGTATGACTTTAAAACATTTTTTACACTTATTTGTGTGTGTGGGGGGGGGCGGGGTACACAAGTAGAAATCAGAGCACAGCCTGCTGGGATTGGCTCTTTCCTTCCACTCTGTGGTCCTGGGATCCACATCCAATCACCAAGCACCCTTAACCTCCAAAGCCATCTTTAAAATGGAAGAACACATTCCTCAGGCTCACTGTGAACAAACTGCCTGGATTGAGATTTTGTATCGATTTAATTGCTTTTCATTCTCCTTAAGACCACTGTTTGCCCCTTTCTCCACTTCCTTTACTGCTTTAACTTCACTCAGAACACTTTACTGTTGTAAGAAGAAGAAAGAAAAATCTAACAATGTCCTCTGCTTAGCAACAGTATTGCATTCTAGATACTCTTCGCAAAGATTCATTGGACCTAGTATTCTTTTGTTGTTTTGAGACGGAGTCTACTGTAGCCCTAGGCCTCTTGCTGCTGATAAACCTGAAAACCCGGTCTTCCACTTTCCACCTCTGGATTGGCTGGGATTAAACCCCATATTAGGTGTTACTGGAGACTTAAACCTAGGGCCCCTGATATGTTAGGCTGCCTCTCTCTCCATGGACCTAAATCCCTAGCCAAAGAGTCATTCAGAAAGTAGGATAGAATGCATAATTTCAATTGAAATAACTAGATATTAATGGAATGTTTTAGTTTGGAAAGAGAAAGCAACCTAATACAATTTTGATTGCTTTCTCCTTCCTTCTCTCCCTTTGATTCTGTGCACCGGGAAGGGCTTCAGTAGGGTGAATTCAACAGATTATCCATAAATCCTTAGCACATTGGGTCATCAGATGCTTTGACTGTGAGCAGCTCCTCTGGTCCCAGGTATGTTCTCTGGGATTTGACAGTGCATATGTCCTGGGTACCAAAGAAGAAAAGGAGGGAGGACTGGGAAGCCAGAAGGTAGAAAAAGCTGAAGACATCAGAGGTGCCCACAGTGGTGCTGGAATATAGTCAAGGGTACAGCGCCACCTGCAGGCGCCGTGGACATCTTCGGGTATCAAGTCTTCGAATATTCAAATAAGGTCACTCTCTAGCTTGCTCCTCCCGTCTTCATCCAAGGGTGGCTGAGTCTCTGCAGTCTGAGATAGGGAGTCCTTTCTCCTTACATTGCTGGAAAGAAGTGGAGTAAGCTTCTCCATTGGCATAGAACCGCTCCTGGGACCTGGTACTTGTCTCTCCCTTCGGTGAGTTATCCCTAATGCTTGCCCTCCTCCTCAGGGAACCGGTGGATGAAGTGCTGCAGATACCCCCGTCCCTGCTGACATGTGGTGGCTGCCAGCAGAACATAGGGGACCGCTACTTCCTGAAAGCCATCGACCAATACTGGCATGAGGATTGCCTCAGCTGTGACCTCTGTGGGTGCCGACTGGGAGAGGTGGGGCGGCGCCTCTACTACAAGCTGGGACGGAAGTTATGCAGGAGAGACTACCTCAGGTACCTTCCTCACACTCCCCAGGCACGGCTGAGTTTGACCACGTGGTCTCTAGCTCTTGTTCTGACTCTGAGGTGCCTGCGGAAGGGTGCTAGGCTAGGGAGGCTGAACCTTGGCCGCCTCTGCAGAGAGGCCTGCACTCTTCCTCTGCGGTAGCCATGTCTGCAGAGACACATCCCTGTGTGATGATCACTAGTGTCTTTAAAGGTAAGAGAAGAATAAACACAGAATTCGGAATAAGGACAAAATTCTGGGGAGCGTATCAAAGGATAGGGTTTGGAGAAGTATGCATAGGGAAATGGAATATCATGGGGACTGGGGGTAGAGAGAGTTCATTTAGAAGTTTCGGGGTGGGTTCTTAAGACCTCATTTTAATGGTCAATAAACGTATCCATATATTTAGATATTCTTTTGTATGACGCCAATATTATTTTTTTTTTTTTTTGGTTTTTCGAGACAGGGTTTCTCTGTGGTTTTGGTTCCTGTCCTGGAACTAGCTCTTGTAGACCAGGCTGGTCTCGAACTCACAGAGATCCGCCTGCCTCTGCCTCCCGAGTGCTGGGATTAAAGGCGTGCGCCACCACGGCCCGGCTGACGCCAATATTATTGATAAGAACTTTTAAAATAACCTTCTTGCTAATGAGCTCCAAGCACTGAGTCTCCCAGCAGAAAGATGGCGTTCAAAAGCTATAAAGGGTGACAGCCCTGGATTCAGGAGGTCAGTCCCAGCCTCATTGCCTCCTAGTGCTATGGTCTGGGTAGTGGGGGTAGGAACTGTAGTTACTTCTAAGGTTAAAAATAATACAAATGAAGTTCTTGACTTGGTACGTGTCTTAAGAAATAGCTGTTAGGTCATTTTATAATTGACATGTGTCGCAGTGGTATCATAAATTATTTTCCAATATAACGGACGAGGAGATGGAGGCTTGGGAGGATGAAATTGGAAGTGTACAAGGCCAAGTGAGACAGGAACTTTCCCCTGATCTGGGGCCCCCTCTTCTCCGTGTGAGTGTCTGCCCGGCACGTTCTAACATCTCTAGCTTCCGTATGAGCTGCACTGGAGGGAACTGTGCCCTGTTCTGTCACATCCAGTCAGGTGTTCGACTGTCAGGTCTTTGTCATCCAACAGTGGCAGGAGAAAGCTCCTCCTGCATGTCCCCTGAGCGTGCAGCCCTGGTATATTAGGACCATCCGGCCTGTGGAAGAAGCCCTTTCAGACTCCAGCACCCCTGACTGCTGGGGTGGTTCTTCCTCTTGTATTTGTTCTCAGGGCTTTGCATATGTGAAATAAAAGCCAAACTGCTGGTAATGCCACAGCCGAAAGAAGCTCGTCTGGTCTTCCAAAGACTGAATCAGCTAGTACACGCCTATATCCTTCGATGAAAATCATTGCAAATTTAGTGGGCTTTTTGGAAAAAAAGAAAAGAGAGCAAGCAGATCTGACTATACTTTTGTTGAATTTCTTTCTTTTTTAGAGTTATAGGCAAATAGAACAGAGATAAATACAGACCTGGTTTGACTCACCCCAGGTCTGCCAAATCAGTCAGAAGGCAGCTGGGTAAATGATTCCTACTGGGCCCCTGCCTCCATCCCTGTCGAATCATTTGAATCTTATTAAATGAAGTCAGATACAGTAAGGTCAAAGGAGCCGATTCCTCCCTATCTCCACGGTTTTATAGAACATTCAGGAAGAAAGGCAGCGCTGCCTGGGCTTGTTAATCTTTTCCATTTTCAAAAAGGAGAGGAAAAAAATAGTCTGAGAGAGCCCAGTGTTAATTAACTTGTGTCTTGGTGACACGAAATAATTCTTCTCCCTGCTACATTCCCAGGCAACATGTTAATTAACTCTGCATTAGTGCAGGCGTTCCCAGCCACCCTTTAATATTTATATTATTGTTATTAAAATGGGCAGCAGAAAGCTTAAGGCACTGACACCTCTTGACAAAGGAGGGATTTTCTTCTCCTCCTTCTCCTCCTGCTCTTCCTCCTCTTCTCCCCTCCTCTTCCTCCTTCTCCTTCTTCTTCTCTTCTTCTCTTACCTACTCTTTTCTCCTCTGTCTTCTTGGATGGTCCATCAGTCATGGGTTTGTTTACTTCAGTTCTTTGTGCAGATTTAATGGAGTAAGTTCAGGATGACTCAGTGGGTCCTCCAATGAGGTCCAGTCCCTCTCCCTAGAACAGCTTCTCCACATGACGGTCTTGAATGGTCAACTATCTTCTAGTCCTTTCGAGATATTCAACCTCAAAAATCCAGGCCCTCAGCTCAAACCTGCTACTGTTATGTTGTGTTGTCCAGCAGCTGTTTATGTGGGTGCTAAGCCCAGATTCTCATGGATCCAGTTTTTATGAACTTTTATATAGGACAATCCCCTCTCGCCTGTGGTTATGTCTCAACAACTGGCTATGCATCTCGTCAGCACCTGTTGTAGCCAGAAATTTGCAGCCTCACAAGACTGTGCAATGACCCTGGTGCCAATACTTCAGGAGAGTTCCAAATCCCTGCAGCTTAGAGGGAATCCAAAGCCAGTTGGAGATGCGAATTATGATTCAGGAGTCACCAGATATAGGGACAAAGGTCCTTTTGAGACTGTGCTGCTCAACTCTCTTCCCTCTTCCCCACTTCCCCTGAGGACATCATAAACTATTTGAATGTAAACCCTTGCCAGTGGTCTGCTTCTGGGTCATCCAGCCAAGACATGGGTTCTCTGAGCCAGAGATTAATGCGCACGTTAAGCGTCAAGTCCTGGCTTATCTTCATTGCTGTTATCATCTTGGAGTTCCTGATTTGGAAAGGACTGCCAAGGTCTTTTCCTCTAGCTCTGGGCTTGCAGTGTCAGACACGGAAGCCAGGAGAGGACATGCCATTTGCTGGGGTCACCTAGCTAGTTAGAGGTGATTCTGGGGACAGAGCTTATCTCCCAAACATTAGTCCTCTGTCCTTTCATTAACTGCCCAGTGTGGTGTAATTTGCTTCCTGACTTCTGTCTAATAAGCCCCCCCCCCTTTCCTTAAGGATCTCACACCTCAGGCAGTCAGATTCATTTGGTGCATACTGTTTTCTCTGTTGCGTGTCTCTGCTCAGCTCCAAACTTAATTTACTGAACTGTCAGTGCACCAGAATACACTTTCTGCTCTGTGCCCTCCAGTGTAGCCGTTACCCATGCTCCACCACTGCTCCGGTGGGCTAGAGTGTTCACCACGGATGAATCTGCTTTCAGTCCAGAAAGTGGGATCCCAAAGAGAGAGGAGCTCCAACCTCTCTACTCACAGACCCCTCTTTATAGGCCGTTCGTTCTGGCCAAATGTCACAAACTTTGGTAACTGCCTCTATCTCCCCTATAATCTCTTAGGATGCACCAGTCGATTCTCCCATTTTTCTAAGTGGGTAAGAACTGCTAAAGAGAACAAGCGTTTACCAGGAATGGTCATAAAGGCTCTACATGGAAGCTATGAGCTGACATGCTATGTTACAAGCCCCATATGAAAATGGCCCCACAGCAGAATGTGTTCACATAGCCAGTCTTGGCTCGGTCATTGATCTCTGATGCTGAGGCATGCCCTAGATGTTGCACTAGTGTCTGGGCACTGTAGCTACTGGATAACTTGGAGAAATCAAGGCCACACTACCTTCTGGTCTTTATCCTGATGCTCTTCTGTTCTTACAGGCAGGCTCATCTTTAAACTTTGGCCAACGATAGAGTCATTAGCACACAGATTGCTGAGCCTTCTCTTAGGTATCTCTGTCGGGTAGAGGGGTAGTTGAGAATTTGTGTTTCTAACAGGCTCCTGGGTGCTGCTGATGCTGCTAGTCCCTTGACCAACTCACCGAGAACTATTGCACTGGCTCCTGCTAAGTTGCCTCTCCCACCCCAACACTAAACGTTGCTTGATTTCGTGGCTGATGCACTGAGGCTAAAGAGAAACTTGATTTAGGTGTGAGAAAAGTGATCTCCCCAGAGAGTCGTGCTGAGGGGACAGGGGGGGCATGAATGGAGATCTTCTGTGCATCCTGGAGAGATGCTGTTTGTCCTCTGGGTCTCTGAGGCATGATTAGTGGGGCTGCATGTCTCCCGGGATGCTCCTGTCTCCTGGCAGCTGGGGCTCCAATGAGTAGTCATGTGGACATGGACTTTGCAACTTGAGACCAGGGAGATGACTCAAGGCACACTTCCCAGGGGGTGAAATTAGTGTCTATTGATGTCGTAGAATTGGGAGCCTCATAATGATGCCCATTTTATTGCATTCCTCGTGAGTTACTCCTCCAAGGCTGGCTCCAGCTCCTTTTCTATGTTAAGTTCCTCTGAGGAGGGGACATGTACTGCATGCCTGACTTCTTCTCACAAGTCACTCCAGTTACATCTCTTCCAGAGCTGGTCCACGCAGCCTGGAGGCATGGAAAAAAGCAGGAAGGACTCAGGGAAGGGAGGAATAACAGGAAATAAAATGCCACAGTGTTACCCAGCCTATCCTCTCTGCTTTTAAGGAAAGATTCATTGGCTGTTATCCGGGTGCGACTTTTTGTTGGTTTGTTTTTTATTTTGAGAAAGCATATCACTGTGTGTCCTAGTCCTGCTTGGACCTTGCCATCCTCCTGCCTCAGCCTCCTGAGGACTGGGATTACAGATGTGTACCACTGTATCTGACGAGGTCCAGCTTTTCCTAGCTCTGTGGAATCCTGATAGAGAAAGAGCCAATCACGAATCCCTTCTGTCTGTTTTCTCTGCCCTATCTCTTAGCTTTGTTTTTATCCTTTTGGCCCCAGGCTTTTTGGTCAAGATGGTCTCTGCGCCTCCTGTGACAAGCGGATCCGTGCCTATGAGATGACAATGCGCGTGAAAGACAAAGTGTATCACCTGGAGTGCTTCAAGTGCGCAGCCTGCCAGAAGCACTTCTGTGTTGGCGACAGATACCTCCTCATCAACTCTGACATCGTGTGTGAGCAGGACATCTACGAGTGGACTAAGATCAATGGGATGATCTAGGCAGAGTCCCCGGCACCTTTGGGGAGGTGTTCGGTGGAAACGCTGTCTCTGTTGGGTTCATTTTTAGGCACTTTGGGAACCTGAGGGTGGGTGAGGCATGACTTAGGAGACTGGACTCTCCTTGGGCACTAAGACATAGCATCCACATGACATATTGCAAAGGCCAAGACTTCAGTGACAAAAGGACCAGCCCTTAGAGAGAATTCGTGGTCACAGGCTATCCATAGTAACTGACAGGGTTAGTGGAGAAAACGTTTGGGGACCAGCATGCACTGCGCCATCACGGTAGGAGTGCCCAGCTAGGTAGTGTTGGGTAAAGACTATGTGTGCCCATGGTGTTTATGGACTAGACATGTGCAATTACTTTCTTCCTGGCTTTGGAACTATGCTATTCTAGCCACCGTCCCTCACAGGAGAGAAGGAAAGAGAGAAAAGCAGGCATTCTTTTTTTCTTGGTCACCTTCCCATGGCCTAAAGCTTTGGAGCCAGGGGAAACTGCATGGAAATACATTTCTGTTGGGAATGAAATACACACCTTTCAATCAAACAAATATTTAAAGCAAAGTTGATGAATCACTGTTTTTAGACACCTTCAGTTTGAGGTGAGGCACCCCCACAGATTGTTTCTATACAAATGTAAATCTTAAGAAGTCAAAGTTGTTCAACTATTTTATTATCTTAGATTATATCAAAGTATTTGTTGTGTGTCATTAAAAAAAACTTGATTCTGAAGACTTAATAAAATGACAAGCTAAAATACCATGCTGTTGGTGTGAAATGACGTACAATTCGGGCTAGCAGGGAAATGGTCTGCTATTTTCTCTCAGAAAGGTGAAGTGAATAAGCAATTTATTTCTAGGCCAAATAAAAGTTTCCATTTATTGCACGGGTTTATATGAGGTTTATATAGGTTTCTGTATTATGGGCAATTATATAACAGGCCATCACATAGCTCAGAGGGACGTAGAATAATTAAGTTGTTATTGTAAAATGTGCATTTCACTTCGGCATTGTGTGGAGTGAGTGGAAGGCAGCAAGATCATTGCCTTTGGGAAACTTGTAACCTAGAAAGCACACAAATACATAAAATAGATTCCCTTTGGGAGAGAAGGTAATTACCTGGCCTGAAATGTGGCGAAGATGCTGAGCTTGACATTTCTATTTTCCAAGATGTGTGTCTCAGGGTGTTTTATGACAAGTGGTTACGAGGACCTTACTTTGAGGATTTAAAGCTGGCACCTTAGCTTATGTGCTTGCCTGCACCCCCATCTGGGGCGTGATCTGACTTCAAGCGCCCCCTGCTGGTCATTCCTCAACCTACTAGTCCAAGGGCGTCCCAGGGAATGACAGATCTCCGTGAAGGATATACTTTCAATTATTTCATAAAACCATTGGCAAACACTAGATGTGTTTAATTATCAAGATGTCAGAAACATGCAGCTAAAGCTGTGTTTAATTAACTTGAAAGTGCTCTAACGTCTCTGTCGTTGAAGCTTTTTTCTTTAATTCTAGAGGAGGAATAATAAAGCAATGTCTCTCTTGGCCTGTAAAATGCTCAAAGTGCTCCAGAGAGCTGACTGCTTATGGTGGCCTATTTAAAACGAATCCAATTATCTCGAACCGCGGCCTAGGTGGCCATCAGGTGCTCCTGAGGAGGGGATGATTGCTCTAACTCTGCAGCTCTCAGACTGCTGTCCCTGAGCCCGGCTATCTGCATCACCAGGAACTCGCTGGAAATAGACCCGGGGACCCTATCCTCCAAACACACAGAGGCAGAAACTCAGCTGGGGGCTGCCTGTCCTGGAGCAGGCTCTGGGGGCGACTCTGATTCATGCTCTGAAATCTAAAAATGGCTATTTTACCTACCTCCCAGCTAGCGGGACCGTGCATTCTAAATTGTTAGTATTCAGTATATGACATGAAGGTTAACCACTGAGGAATTCACACGTGTAGATGAACACTGCTTCCCCAAGGGCCCGAAACTGAGAAGTTCATTGTTCTTCCTCAGCTAACAGCTTCTCTTGCTCCTCATCTAACACCAACCACAATTCAGTCTAACCCCCCCTTTTTCTAAATCTGTGTTCTGTTTAATTATATCTAGTTGAATATGGCAGTGAAGTTACAAGAATGAAGGATACATATCTAAGGACTAAAATAAAAGGCATTCCCACTTTACTTTAAGTGCTAAACACCGTATTAGCGCATGTGAAGTAAGGCACATCAAGAGGATCTGAGCCTTTATTTCTGACTGAGAAGCCTTTTATATTTAATCCCATTCTTAGACTGCACGCTGCCATTGATAGGCGATTTGCATGTCCTCCTTCCACATAACAGATACATTACCAAGGTGAGTTCACTGTACCCTAACAAGTACTCCCATTGGAGACTGTACAGATATTTTTAATCTGCATAATACCTGTTTCATTAAACTTCTTGCAATTATGTGTGTGTTCGAATATGGTTTTTATGATGTTCAAAATTGAGCCAAAGCCTTTGCACGTGCTAGGCAAGTGTTATTGCGGTCAGCCTAACATTTTTAGCACACCAACGATGATAGTAACAGTATTATTGCTACGTAATGTTTTTCCTTTGATTTCGTTTAAGACAGAGCCTCCTTGATGCCCAGGATAAGCAGGAGCTCACAATGTAACACAGGCTGGTTCTGAACTTGCAATGCTTCTCCTTCTTACTCCTGGATGCTAGATTTGTAGATCTTCCAGCACACCTGGCTGTCCCCATAATAAATAAAAATAAGACGATCATTGGTTAATGTAAATTTTATTGCTAACCCCCAACTATAGTACAATTCATATTAAGATTTAAGAGGTAATCAGCCTAGACCATCACCATCCCCAAAAAGTGATCCTTGACTGCCTCTCTCTTTATTTTCTTTATTAAGTGTGTGTGTGTGTGTGTGTGTGTGTGTGTGTGTGTGTTCGTGTGTGTGTGTGACTCTGGTGCCATGGTGTGAATGTGGAGGCAAGAGGACTCTAGGGAGGCAGTTTTCTCCTGACCCTTCTAGGATCTGGAAAATGAACTCAGTCATTGGACCTGTTGCATGTACTCGACACACTGAGCCACCTTGCCAGCCCTTGTGGGTACATGAGCAGTGTTTGCAGAAAACCACCGTAGGGATCCCAATACCTAACCCCTAACTGACTGCAGAGGAAGAGGCCCACTCCCAGAGCCTTCTGTGGTGCTCCTGGACTGAAGGCGTCACTGTTTTGTCCAGACCCAGCAGATGGGAGCTGGGCAGCACACCTTCCCCGGCCCAAACACTGACCCATCAGTTCCCTGGAAGTGTTTTTCCTCTCTTCTCAGGAGTTTCCTCTGTGGGAAGTCGCAATGGCTCCAGGAACTCAACCTGTGCTTCTCGGGAAAGCTTGGGCTCCCAGAGAGCTGAACTGAAACACCAGCTGGGAGCTTTAGCTACTGAAGTCTTAGGTTTTAATTACAATGACAGATCTGCTTAAGAGTCTTCCATGCAGCACTTCCTGGGCCAGATGCCTGCCCTTCCAGGAAGCTTCAGCTAATATTGTTACCTGTGTGTACTGTGAAGGACCCTGAAGCCCAGGCAGCCTAAGCCACGAGTCTGAGGTCCTCCATCCCAGCTGGGGCAGGCTGCTTTCTCTGAGCCTCTCAGTCCACTACCCTGATGCCAATTTAGGCTCCTCCCACTACACAGAAAGATGCACCAGGGCGTAAATGAGAGTTTACCAGAGAGTGGTCACTTTTTGTTGTTGTTGTTGTTGTTTGTTTTGTTTTACAAGACAGAGTTTCTCTGTGTAGCCCTGGCTCCTGGCTGTCCTAGGACTAGCTCTGTAGCCCAGGCTGGCCTAGAACTCACAAAGATCTGCCTATCACTGCCTCCTGAGTGCTGGGATTAAAGGTATGCGCCACCTGGTCAGAGAGTGGCCCCTTTTGTTTTATGATCTTATGAAGGAAAATTCGTGACATCCCTCCACACACATATCCTGAGCCAGCAACAGGACTTTGTCTATATGGTAACCCTACACACATACACACACCACACCACACCACACACATACAGCAATGGGGCGTTGTTTATATAGTAACCTTACACACGCAGGCATGTACACACACACACAGCAGTGGGGTTTTGTTCATATTGTAACCCTACACACATACACCCTGAGACAGTAACAGGACTGAATTTATATTGCAAATAATTTTTTTTCTTAAAACAAAAAGCTTCTTATCACCCAACAGAGAAAATCAATACCTTTTCCCCCAGTTACAGGATGCTTAAGCTTAGTCTATTGGGAAATGTCAACAAAACACAAAAATGAAAAATAAGCACATAACAAAGATATGTGAAAAGTACAAAGGCAACAGATTAGCCCGGGGGTGGTTGTCTAGGAGGAGGAAGAGGTAGCTTTGCCATGGCCCTGTCCCTGGGAAGAGCCTGGAGTCGAGTACCTGGGCAGGACATGTCTCTTAGTGAGCTCTGAGTGCACGAGTGGAGGCTTGGGGATGGCTAGCCGGTTCTGGGCCTTGACTAGCAGGTTAGCGCAGTGGTGGAACAGGATCTTTAATTCTGCTTTCTCACAGGATGCTACTGTGCCAGGCCCAAGTGGGCCCAAGTGAACTTCATAGCCCCGCCCCCCACCCCCATGCTGATGTTGCTGACGTGGTGTTTGACTTCTCTAAGCTTTCGCGGCACTCTTTGCTCGCACATCTCTTGTTTTATTTCCCACCCTGCTCCCTACTTTAAGACGTCATTTGGGAGGAAGGCTCTGTCTCCAGCCAGCAGAGCACAGGGTTGAGAGCCCCGTGGCTAAAGCCTGCTTCTGGCTGTCCCTGGCTGTCCGACCTCAGGCAAGCCGCTTCACCTTCTGGGCTTCAGATTCCTCAGCAAGTGACAATAGGTAGAAATGGCCGCCGGGGGCTCTTCTAGGCGTTTGAGTTCATATTCATAAAGCTCCTGGCTCTTCACTGACACCAGGTAGGCCAGAGTTACACATGTAGAAAAGGACTAAATGTTTATGGGGTGCATTGGGGAGGAGAGCAGCTGGCGAAGCAGTTTATAGGGGAATCAGACTTTTCTGTAATTAAATAATTGCATTTATCTATGTACTGTGTGTGTGTGCATAAATGTGTGTGTGCCCATGTGTGCACTTGTAAATCAGAGCTCAACTCGTTTGAGTTGGTTCTCTCCTTCCACCATGTAGGTCCTGGGGCAGGCTGGGCAATTAGTGCCTTTACCCACCGAGCCATCCCGATATTCTGTTTTCAGAAGGGATGTGGAGAGTTCTGCTCTTTGGAAATGTCAATGCAGTGAAAGATGGTGAACATCTGTGAAACGCTTCAGACTAAAGAAGGCTCCAGGCAAGTAAACAGAATATGTCAGTCTACTGAGAACCCAGTAGTCTTCGGTAAACAGTGCTACAAACAAACAAACAAACAAACAAAAGCCATCATTAGGGACTGGAGAAATAGCTCTGTTAATGAAGCACTTGGGCACAGTGCTGAGACCTTGGATCTTAAGAATCTTTGTAAAGGCTGGGAAGGTATGATGACTTCCCTCTAATCCCAGGGCAAGGGAGGCAGGGCACCCCAGAGCAAGATGGCTAGCTAGACTAGCGGGAACAGTGGGCTCCATGTTCAAGGGAGACCCTGACTTAGCGTACGGAGTGTGACCGAGGAAGGCACCTGGTGTGTTGTTTTGTGTCAATTTGACACAGACTGGAGTCACCTGAGAGCTGGGATCTTCAGCTGAGAAAATGCTTCCATGCAGTCAGGCTGTAGGCAAGCCAGTAGAGCATTTTCTTAACTAGTGAGTGATGTGGGAGGGCCCGGCCTGTTGTGGGTATCACCCTGGGCTGATGGCTCGGGTTTCTATAAGAGAGTAGGCTGAGAAAGCATTGATGAGCAAGCCAGGAAGCAACAGCCCTCCATAGCCTCTGCATCAGCTCCTGCCTCCAAGTTCCTGACTTAAGTTCCTGCTTTGGCTTCCCTCAGTGGACTGTGATTTGGGATATGTA